ATATATTTGTTTAAATTTTGAATCGGAGAAAATGGGGGGAAGAGTAATGGTGAATAATGTTTGCCTTGATTAAAATAGACGAGGAAATCGTGACCTAACCAAAGTAGCTTAAAAGCTAGGAAAATACAAGGGACGAGCACGTGAATATTTCTGAAGGCAGTACAGCACAGTAAATACTAAATAGTGATGAAATTGACATTAGATTCCGGGCGCCACTTGCTTGCTTTCAGCCGTTAAATGTTTTTCTATTCTCATCTTTACACTCGTTATATAGAAACTTCTATGGTAAGGCCAGAAATAATATCTTTGACAGACAAGTCGAGAGGTGTAAAATGAATTGATCTCTAAAGCTAAAGGTGTTGATTGGATTATGCTCGTCCAACAATTAATTCTTCTTTATAGGAGCAGATAGAAATGTTCTAGGATCCTTCGGGGGTTTTACCGACCCTTCACTGTAGAGTTCGGTCTCACATGAAAAAATAAAAATAAAAAAATACGCTGAGGCCCACGACTGTGAGGGATCTGGCAGGGGTCTGTTTTAGCAGAATTCAATGTTTTATTGTATCGAGCATAAAATGACATCCAAAGTTCATGCATTAGATCGTTACCTAATTTTATAAAAAAAAAAAAAAAAATACTGAACTATAGATAAATATTTAACAACAATTACATGGGTCAACCTGGCATGGCTCAACAAGGTGGCTTGGCCTAAAATTTGTACCGATAGACTTTTTTGGTGCTAAGATCCAAAGTTGAGACAAAAACAATCTAGATTGTTCAATAAGGTTCCCTAACAATCATTTGTGGAAGAGAGTTCGATCAAACGAATATTCGACTCTTTTTTCTTCAAGATGAAGCCAATTCTTCCCATGCCGTTCAATAGTGTGAAAACACTTCACGATGTCGGGTTTTTGAAACGAGCAAGAGGAACTCAGGCCGCTTGAGTCTCCAATCTAGCTTGATAAGGTCTAACCTACTTAATATTGACCAGAGTCTAAAAAATCCTATTTTGATCTTGTGATCGTTGTATATTTTCACGAGCTTTATTTGTTCACGAATAAATTTTTTTGCTTTGTTACAACAATATAATGAAGTGACCAAATAACAAATAAGACTAAATGAGAGAATAAATATGCTCATATAAAGTCTCGAGCATAGGGCAAACTGTAGTAAATATTTTTGAACAGATGTAAAATCCTTTTAGGTTCTAAACAGCAAAAGACGATATACGGTAGATGTCCGACCACATTTTTACATCCTCAAATAGCCTCCGTAGTCTTCGTATTGTTCCATGAAATCGTCATTGAATTTCTTGAAACTGGCCATTATGGCCGGCATGTCTTCCTCAGCCGGCAAGATTGTTGTCCTCAGGTGGAAAACCCTACAAATACAGTTACCGTCAGCTTTGATCGAGTTAAAAACACTGGCAGTCACTAAACTAATGACGGAATTCATTTTGTTTCAAGTTGGGCATGGAACTCGAACATTTGTTACAATTTAGTCATTTGCTTCATGTCCCTTTTTTAAGTGTATGAAGCTAACAAATTTTGAACACAGTTTAAGATCAATTACCAACTTGAAACAAAATGAAGTTTTAACGACCACTAAGGAATTTAACGCTCCTCAATTGTATAGTAAGTTGCGACAAATAGCAGCATCGAGCTATAAATCACCCAAAATGTGACATCTTCCCAAATACACGATTTAGAGCATTACTTCACACCAAGAAAAGTAAGGTGGTATGTAAGAAATCTTGCAAGAAAACTAGCCATTATGAAAAAATTAAAACTAGACGTACCCTTCCTTTTGACCAAATCCTGAACCTGGGACAGTGGAAATGCCCGTGGCTTCTAGAAGCTTGAGACAATAGAAAACATCGGGAACTTTGCCGGCATTTTTTGCAGCCTCTATTGCTTTAGGAGGTAAGCGTATTTGTGGGAAGGAATACATGGCACCTGAAATCATTTTGTTCTTACAATGAATAACTTCCATGTAATGCAGGTAAGTAGATAGCTAATTGATGGCGTTCAGCGTGTTCTTGGAGGGGCGGGATTTAGTAAATCTGTGTATCCAAAGAAACTGATTTACCTTCTGTAAAATTGCAGATCACATTTCTACAGCTATTGAATCCATCTGTCACTATTTGTGCTCTCCTCCTCAGTGACTCGAGGATTCCTTTGCTGCAAGTGAATATCGAAAGAATGCAACAATTAATTACTATTCAATATAAACAAGACCACACGCTAAGCAATATTTCAGCCCAAAAGCCAAAACAAAAATCTTATGGGTTCTAAATCTTGAATATATGAAAAGAATGTAGATAATAGAAGACCATCTCTTTCAATATCTAATCAACAAGAATGATACAAAGAAACATATAAAGCAATTCAAATATTGAAGCCCCGTCACAATTGCACATAATTCTACTTATCATACGACCTGATTGCTGTAATTTACTGCCCTCTTCAGGTCCACAGGGTGGCATTTAATTGTCTTATTGAAAGCATAGAGTGGCCATGTGTATAATAAAAGATATAGGGGTTAAAGTACTTAAAAATTCAAATGATTCCAACTGGTTTGTTACCATTTGGTTTCTATTTTGCAATTCTCCAACCAAAATACAATAAATAGGACTTGTGATTCAACACAACATTGTGATTAATATACTTCCATGACAAGACAACACTTTGGTGGTTCGAACAAGTTCTGCTTAGATCTAAAGAGGATTGCGTTTGTAAGAATGACCAATCTCGCTAAAACAAGTTAGAAGTGGGCAAAAACTAGCATATGGCCCTTTGAAGTTGCCAAGAATCAAGTTGTTTTATATCTTCTAGTAAATCTAGAAATTAACTTAACAGAGTGGATAATGAGCACTCATGTAACCGGCCCCAAATATGTTAGAAATAAGACTTTGTTTGTTGTTGTTGCAGATGACATGAGCAATGCGTCGAGAATCAGTTACTTCCACTGAAATGGAAAAACTGATTTAAATTATTAAAGTCTTTTCTCCAAATTCCAAAATGCAGAAGAAAAATAGGAAATTTTCCAAAGGAAACTTTTAAAGGTAAAAAATGAATTTTGTCCACTAATTTGAATTCGTAAATAATGTCCACTTTTTGAATTTTTTAACTAATATACCCTTCTCTCTGCAAAAGTGTTACCATATTCCTTCTGCACAAATTTCTAACCATCTAGGCATTTTGGCTAATCTAAGCAAAGTTGATGAACTTTAGTCCCATTAGACATGCCCTTCTCTTCCTTTTTGCATGAATAGTGAACCATCTACGCGTTCTCATCAAACAAGGCAAAGTTGATGAGAATTTCTAGTCCATTCAAACATTCTAGTCTTCCTTGTCAACTTTGCGTAGAGGATATTTTGATAAAATGGTACTACAGAGATTTTTTATGGTCGAATGGCCATATTTAATAAAAATTTTAGTTGGAAAAAAGTATCATTTTGGTCAAAAGAAAATTGACCAGTTAGAAAGTTTCCCAACAAAAATCAAACATTGAATAGTTCATAATTAGATATTAGCCGTCGTACCTCTCTCTAACAAATCTTTCATAAGATATATCTCCAGGTTTAGGAGGATTGACCATAAGCCCTAACTGTGAAAAGGAAAAGAATTATAATTTAGCTCAGGGATAACAGCAGAAATTGGAACAAATGGGTGAAACTAGTTCAATAAACTTAATACCGCAATGCAAGACTCTTAAAAACTGAAGAGACAGAGCTTGTATACCAAACAAATATTATTAAATAACTGACTTACAAAGATCTGCCCAGGGACATTTGGACTGTGTGAAGTACAAGTAACCTTGTATATCTCTTCAGCTGTCTGCAACCACAGTCAACAATTTATTTGGCGATAGGATTCAGAACTAAGAATTTTTATTTTTCCAACACCAAGGCTCTAAATCCTTATATATAACATTGGGTACACATACAGCTGACTTCAGTCTTCATTTTGCCCTTGAGAACTTTCAATGTAAATTATCTAACCTGTACAAATAAAAGTATCTCTAATTCTTGTTTAGTGCGTAATCGTATTTTACACTTTCCCCTCAACTTTTTTTTTACAGGGGTTTACTGGGCATTCATACATAGGTCACCCTAATATTCCTATCATATATATAGGAGTTTTTTTTAGGAGATGGAAGTTTGGGTAGTCAAGATAGAGAGGCATGTCGAAAAAAACCTTTCTAATCTCTTTCTTATTATAGTAACGAATAAATCGGTGTGTTTTCTTTGCTGGTTTCTGATTTACTTTGCTTATTATAGATCTTGGAGTTAAGGGTTTAATGCTTAATCCATAACATCTATCACATTGAGTCTGTGCAATACAGATTTGCATGAAAGAACATAGTTTGAGATTACAGAAAGGCAAACCTTTGGAGGAATATTGGTCATCTCAAAGTATCCACCGCGTTGCCCACATTCACCCCAATAACCTTTGGAAACAGTGTGAAAAGAAACGAGCTGGAGCTCCTTGCTTATGTTTCCTCCCATGTCCATCAGAACCTGCCTATATATTTTTTATAGCGTGTCTCAAGACTAGAGAAAGGAGGAGGCTAGCAGTAGGTTGACAGCCAACGTTAAACTCTGACAAATCTTATAATACAACCCTAATTCATTGTCTAACCAGCATAGATAGATCTTAATGAAAGGTTTAGACCAGGTAAAGTAGTCCTAAATAAAATGGACATCTACAGACAAGGTTCCTGAGTAGTTGCTGAATGTAACCACTGGGAAGTTTAAAGTATGTGGCGCTAGTAATTTGATGCACCCAGAAGAGTTATTACAAAATAAATGAATAGAAGTAGTACTCATGGAGAGAGAGTATATAATTGTGGCAGAGCCTAGCAACTTCACATTTTTTTTTTCTGAAACTGAAATTTTTGTGTTTGTTTAACCAGTGACCAAAACAAAAGTCAAGATATCTGACTTGGAAATGGAAAACCAGCCACCAAAATAAGTTAATATCTCTCTCTGTATTATTTTTTTATTTTTGGGGTCCTGGAGTTGATGTTGGAAGCAATGGAGAGAATGGGGAAAGTAAATTAATAAAGAGATCTTTGTGGCAAAGAAAATAATGAAAAATGGTATCATGAAAAGTCCATCCATTTCTCATGGTACAACTTTACAGGGGTTCTATATTTTCTCAAAAAACAGAATGAGATAGTGAGTTACATTACCAAGACCCCCTGATGTCAGTGAAAGATAATGTTTAGCTCTTGCTATAGCATCGGCAGGAAATACAAGTTCCACATTAGGATCATCCAGCAGAAATGGAGCTTGGCAGAGAGCAACCACCTGCAACATCGTGTTTTCTTACAGTGAATTCATACTACAACATCAAAAATGATAAAAAGAAAGATACATTCAACATGCATAAATATTGATAAATATTTATACAAACCTGTCGAGGAAAAGTCAGAGGCTTTTGCCCTAAGGCATGAGGGTTGCCAACATTTGTGAAGATAATCTGCAGTAGAATCATGGAATGATCAAATGGCAAAGTAAACAGTCAATGTGATGAGGACATCATTATAGTTGGACTTTTATTATTGTTTCAGTATTTTAGTTGGACTTTTATTATTGTTTCAGTTGGACTTTTATTTAAGTTTACGTATTTTAGTTAGGACTTAAGTAATGGGCTTGGCCCTATATTTTTAGGTTTTTATTATTTAAACCTATCTTGGTTTGTAATTTTGGGACCATGAATTGATTGAGAATTATAAAGTTGGCTTGTGGCCGTTTTCTCTCCTCTTCCCCGCCTCTGTCCTTCTTCTTCTCTTCCCCTCCCCATCTCTTCTTATTATAACTATTGAATCATTCATTCTGCATCAAATTGGTATCAGAGCAAACTTAGGAAAACAGTTAAGTGTTCACTGCGTGGCTCAAAAATCAGTTACTGCCAAAATCCGAAATTGTTATCACCAAAAAAAATAGAAAAATAAAACTGCCACAAACCAAATAACCGGCCGTGCCTAACACCTTCACCGTCTCCTGCAACTGCAAGTCCCCAGCAGCCATCTACAGAATCCAGTCCCTCCCGCCGACACCTTCTACATATAACCAACTTATCGGAATTACAGCCAAACAATTGCAACAAAGGCCTTTTCAGTTCACACCCCACCACCCAACCAGCTGAAGCTGAAACAACCAGCGTCGCCGCCGCCTCCGACGCCATCGCAACGTCCAACCATACCCCAACAGTCGCCATCCTCTCAGACGCAGGCGACTCCCATCAATTACCGATTTCAACATCCAATCGACCACCCGTCGGCTACTTCTAACCAGTGACCCAAGCAAGTAACTTCACCTAAGTCTTCGCCACTACCATACTCGTTGTCAATCGAGCCTCCCACCTCCGACCGACGTTGTTTTCTTCACAGAGAATCGACAGCCCACGACACTTGGGCTCAGTTTGTGCTTTGGGCTGAGTTATTACCTTATATGTAAATTAATTGGGCCTACATTATTAATATATGCATTTGGGCTCAACTGGTTTAATAATTAAGTGGGTTGGGTTATTTGTACTGCTTGGGCTTGTTTAAGGTTTTGAGTGTGATTTAGGCCCAAATTTGTGTAATGGGCTTATTTATTATTTTGTTATTCTGATTTTGTATTATTATTAAAAAAAAAAGAGCAAAAAAAAAAAAAAAGAGAGAGAGAAGGTATCGTGAATTTTAAATTTTCTGACATCATTTACAGGTTCATTTTAGTTGACTGTTCAGTACCGCACCTCGACGAGCACGGAATTTTCTATCTTGGCATCTCAGGGCTTAGTAGTTCAGAACGTGGAAACATTCGACGCTGGGACGACTCAAACCAATAGTACTCAGGGAGTTCCTGATCCTATTTATTTTTAGTTGACGCTATTTCTTTATTTTAGAATTGCATCAATTAATTCGTTGTGTGCTGGCCATTTGATAATATTGCCTTCAACCTATTTGATTGTATTTCACGAACTAAATTCCATTACTCAATCGTTTACCCCACGTGACTAGACCTAGTATTTGGACATTTGTTTTTCTATTTTATTAGCATTAGTAGTATTAGCTTGCGATTGGGCCATAAGTAACCCCACACTTTAAATTGACAAAATAAATAAATAAATAAATAAAATAAATAATAATAATAATAATAATAATAATAATTTCAATAACTAATTCTTCGGTTGGCACTAGTTGATTGTTGATTATTGATCTCAGTAGTGCACTTTACGTAGTAGTGTTACCGTGTATGCAATTGCGTAGTGGTCGCGTTACTGCCTCTAGCTCTAGTAACCTTACCATGGACCCCGCCCAAATTGAGGCCCTCACCAGACAGCTTGCACAATTACAAAATCAACTAACAGCTGTCCAAACTGAGGTAGCCGCTACTCGTGAAGAGAATAGAGCCCTAACCGCTAGGTTGAATACTCTTGACCCAATCCCATATTCGACCGAGGCTGAGAACTCTGAGGCTTCCATTAATAGGCCTCATCGTCGCCCACAAGGTGGTCGACACCACGCCCGACATGGTCGTAGGGAAGGGAATCAGGCTCGGGAACGAGAGCGGGGATATTACCGTCATGGTACACAATCTCCCCCTCGCCACGAGGAGCGCCTCTTTCGAAACATTAAGTTGGATGCCCCTACGTTTGACGGTTGTCTAGATCCTAGTGCATTCAATCAATGGGTTAGAGATATGGATCGCTTCTTTGCATGGTATGGGGTCCCGGAAGACCGGAGGGTACAATTTGCTAGTTTGAAGTTAACTGGCACTGCTCAGCTCTTTTGGGAGAGTGTTGAGGACCTCCTTGAAAGGCGTCATGCTCCCCCTGTTGGGAGCTGGGGTGAAATGAAGCGTCGCCTTCAAGAAAAATATTTACCCCAATCTTATAGGGGTAACTTGCTGGATCAATGGAACGCACTTACACAAGGCAATCGACCTGTGACCGAATATGTTGCTCAGTTTGATGAGTTTCGAATGAAATGTCAGGTTGTTGCGGATGAAGTTATGACTTTGAGTCGGTTTAGGTAAGGCTTAAGAGACGAACTTAGGCGCGAGCTTGTACTTAGAGGTGTCACCACTCTCGACCACGCCTACTCTTTCGTTCGAGATTATGAATTAGTGACTAGGACACCGTATAGAAATTGTAGTGACTCCCGCACTACAACCTCATCTGCATCCACGCCATCCCCTAAGTCTATTCTAGGTCCTCCTCCCTCTAATACTACCCCTGCATCGGATAGCAAAGGTAGAGGTTCTGAGATTTCAAGGACATCCTCCCGTTTGCAATGCTTCAACTGTAAGGGTTTTGGTCACATTGCTTCTAAGTGCCCTAGCCGAGCCCTAATTCTGGACGAACGTGAGGATATAGTCGTCGAACCACTAGAGGATCAGGTTTATGAGCCTAAGTTAGAAGAGTTTGAAGACTTGGAGGACAGTGAGGATACCTTCTTAGGTTGTATTCAGGCTAGTCCCATTATCCCACATACACCCAGAGTTGGTGTCGTCCGTTGCGCCCTCACCCAGCCTAAGGATGCCAACGATTGGCGCCGTCATGCCATCTTCCACACCTACATCAAGATTAATAATAAGGGTTTTAAAGTTATCGTGGATAGTGGCAGCTGTATTAATGCGGTTTCGAAGGCTACTATATCCCGTTTAGGGTTGAAGCCAGTTCCTCACCCCCGACCTTATAGTGTCTCTTGGGTTGACACCTCCTCTATAGCTGTTAAGGAGCGTTGTTTAGTCCCTATCCAGTTCCTGGAATATAAGGACCATATATGGTGTGACGTTATTTCGATGGACGTCGGGCACATCATCTTAGGACGACCTTGGCTATTTGACCTAGATGTAACCATATATGGTCGATCCAATTCCTGCTCCTTCGTATTTAATGGAAAGAAGATTCACCTTAACCCACTACCCCCAAAGCCGGCTGGCTCACTAGAAGCGAAGAAAAGTGTGGAACAAAAGGGGTTGCATATCATTAGTCCTACAGAGTTTGAGCGTACAATTGTTGGTGACTCAATTGTGTTCGCCTTAGTAGTCATGGAGGTTTCATCTAACTCCACAAGTGAGGATACTGCGGAAGTCCAATCGATCCTTAAGGAGTTTCGAGATGTCTTTCCGGAGGACCTACCTGATCATCTACCCCCGCTAAGAGATATTCAACATGCCATAGATTTCGTCCCTGGCGCATCCCCTCCAAATTTGCCACATTATAGGATGAATCCTGCCGAGCATGCTGAGCTCCAAAGGCAAGTGGATGACCTTCTCAACAAAGGATTCATTCGTGAGAGTTTAAGCCCATGTGCTGTCCCCGCCCTATTGACGCCCAAAAAGGATGGATCTTGGAGAATGTGTGTGGATAGTCGCGCTATCAATAGGATGACGGTGAAGTATCGTTTTCCCATTCCCAGGCTTGATGATATGCTGGATATAATGGTTGGCGCGACAATCTTTTCAAAGATCGATCTAAAGAGTGGGTACCATCAAATTAGAATTCGCCTAGGGGATAAGTGGAAGACCGCGTTTAAAACGAAAAATGGCCTTTATGAATGGCTGGTCATGCCTTTTGGGCTAAGTAATGCTCCGAGTACTTTCATGCGGGTAATGACACAAACTCTTCGGCCGTTCATGGATAAATTTCTCGTTGTCTACTTCGATGATATCCTCCTCTATAGTAAAACTAAGGAGCAACACCGTGACCACCTCAAACAAGTTTGCTCTACCCTTCGCGAGACTAAACTGTATGCTAATGTCAAGAAATGTTCCTTTTTCACCGATAGTGTAGTTTTTCTGGGGTTCATTGTCTCGTCGACAGGGGTGTCTACTGACCCTACTAAGATTCAGGCGATAATTGACTGGCCTGAGCCTAAGGCCATTCATGATGTCAGGAGCTTTCACGGCTTAGCTACGTTTTACCGCCGTTTTATTAAAGGGTTTAGCACTATTATGGCGCCTATCACGGAGTGCATGAAGAAAGGGGAGTTTCATTGGACACGAGGGGCGGCGAAGGCCTTTAAGTTAGTTAAGGAGCGAATGACAAAAGCTCCTGTCATGCGTCTTCCCGATTTTTCCAAAGTCTTTGAAGTTGAATGTGACGCTTCTAGGGTAGGTATAGGCGGAGTCTTAAGTCAGGATCGTCACCCTGTCGCCTATTTCAGCGAAAAGTTAAATGAGGCCAAACGACGATATTCAACGTATGATAAGGAACTGTATGCGGTGGTCCAGGCTTTGCGCTATTGGCGCCACTACTTGTTGCCCCAGGAGTTTGTCCTTTATTCGGACCACGAAACCCTCCGTTACCTCAACTCTCAGAAGAGATTAAGTTCTAGGCATGGACGTTGGATTAAATATTTGCAGGCCTATTCATTTGTGTTAAAACACAAGAAGGGCATGGAGAACCAAGCAGCTGACGCGTTAAGTTGTCGTGTCTCCCTTTTATCGATCATGAGTGTCAAAGTCATTGGTTTTGAAAGGCTTAAGGAGGATTACGAGGCATGCCCAGATTTTAAGGATATCTTTCTCAATTCGCAAGGAGGACAATCAAACAACACAGATGGCTTTCGACTTGAGAAGGGTTATCTTTTTCGAGCCAATAAATTGTGCATCCCTCGAACTTCAGTGCGAGATTTTATAGTGTGGGAAGTTCACGCGGGAGGGTTGGCCGGTCACTTTGGGCGTGATAAGACCATTGAGGAGGTTGAACGCCAATTCTATTGGCCTAGTTTAAAGAGAGATGTGGCTAAAATTGTTAGTACATGTAACACTTGTCAATTGGCCAAACAGAAGAAGCAAAACACAGGCCTATACACTCCTCTCCCCGTCCCCAATTATCCTTGGCAAGACGTTAGTATAGATTTTGTGCTAGGACTGCCACGCACCCCAAAGAAGCATGATTCTATTTTCGTGGTTATCGATCGTTTCTCGAAAATGGCTCACTTTATCCCCTGTCGCAAAACATCGGATGCGTCCAAGGTTGCCATGTTATTCTTTAATGAGATTGTCAAACTGTATGGGCTTCCCAAGACCATCGTGTCCGATAGGGACGTTCGCTTCACTAGCCATTTTTGGAGGACTTTGTGGCATAAGATGGGTACCAAATTAAAATTTTCTACAGCCTACCACCCTTAAACTGACGGTCAGACCGAAGTTGTTAATCGGAGTTTTGGTAACTTACTACGTTGTCTGGTCCGGGAGAACCTTCGAAATTGGGATTTAATCCTTCCTGTCGCTCAAATCGCGTATAATAGCTCCGTAAATCGTTCATTAGGTATGAATCCATTTGAAGCAGTTCACGGATACAAGCCTAGGAAACCATTAGATCTCATCCCTATATCCCCACAGGCTAGAGTGTCAGTATCAGCCGAAGCATTTGCACAACACCTTCGTGATTTGCACATTGAGATCAATAAACAACTTGAAGCTAGTAATGCAAATTATAAACTACAAGCTGATTTACATAAACGACATATTGAGTTTAATGTTGGGGATTACGTTATGGTTCGCATTAGGCCAGAGCGGCGTCTACATGGACCCGCCTCCAAATTGCAAGCTCGTAGTGCTGGTCCTTTTAAAATTTTAAAGCAAGTTGGTCCAAATGCATATATTGTCGACATTCCATCCCACATTGGTTACCACCATACTTTCAATGTTGAAGACCTTGTAATTTAAAAACCCTTTTCATTCCCTCAGATGATCCCCTGTTACCTCCTTTTGTGGACCTTGATCCTAATTCTTTGACCCTCTCTAACCCACTACCACCTCTCACAGCACACACAGATAAAATTGATACTATTTTAGATGAAGAAATTGTGTTCACTAATGTGGAGAGGTTCAGCGCTTCCTTGTTCGTTGGGTTGGTCGACCAGATTCTGATTGTGCATGGATCTCCAGGGAGGCACTACAGCATTTGGATCCAGATTTGCTAGAGCTTTATCGGAGTCAGCAGGATCTTCCTTGGCCCAAATCGCCTCCCGTCCACCCGAGGGGAGTTGATGAGGACACCAGGTTCAGACCGCCACTGATGCATTTCTACAGACGCCGGAAGAAACTTGCCCAACCACTCGGCTTATGGTTGGGAGATTGAAGAGAGTCTACGGTGATATATCCACTCGACAGGGTCGAGTTTTCTCCCACCCCGGGAGAGTTGATGAGGACATCATTATAGTTGGACTTTTATTATTGTTTCAGTTGGACTTTTATTTAAGCTTACGTATTTTAGTTAGGACTTAAGTAATGGGCTTGGCCCTATATTTCTAGGTTTTTATTATTTAAACCTATCTTGGTTTGTAATTTTGGGACCATGAATTGATTGAGAATTATAAAGTTGGCTTGTGGCCGTTTTCTCTCCTCTTCCCCGCCTCTGTCCTTCTTCTTCTCTTCCCCTCCCCATCTCTTCTTATTATAACTATTGAATCATTCATTCTGCATCAAAATGGCACGGTGGTATAACTCGTTAATTTAAGTCACTTTCACAAAGAGAAACTAAACCAAGATAGCCAATATGAAACTGAATGTTCCATAAAATCCACGACTAGATATAAGCATTCCATTCTAAACTATTGCAAGTCAAAAGTAAGACATCAGAAACCTCCTCCGTGGACTAGGTTAATAAACCAAGATTGTAAATTTTGATAAAAGTTGAAGAAATACATTTTTTAAAAGTTGTGAATCCCATCAAAGATGTGATAAAAATTAATTCTTGACTTTAAGTTAATTTTAATCCAAACCCGACAAAGGCACAGTATATCTGATATGTGACTAACTTAGCCAAACATACCTTTTTACCCTCCTTCTGAAGCTCAGAAGCCCGAAGATACAGCTCACCTCGAACAGCATACTGACATTTCTTAACATTTTCATTCAAATTCTCGTAATCCAGTGGCCTCGACATGTTGAAGTGTATATTTCACTTAAATCTAGACTTGATGCAAACAACTACTCACGTAACTGGCGAGATGTCTTGCAAGAACCAATTAACTCGGACCCCCCACCTGAGAATAAAATTAGTGAAAGGCTGGATAACTAAAAAGTAACAAAATCAGAAAAAGAAACGCCTAACTTCATAATTTGCCCCTAAACTCCAAGATTACCCAATAGCAGAATTTTTAGAGAAACCAGGATCAATAAGAGTCAATATATAATTCGCAAAATAATTGATTGATCAACATTTCAAATGTAACGTTAAAAGATAATACTGGGGTTGGTACAGCCGTCTCATGTGGTCCCATAACAATTCAAACAGAAGTCTTACTTTACTTCTGAACCCAGAAAAACAAAAATAAGCACCTTTTCCTTGAAAATAAACGCGCATGCACCAGTGACCAGAAGTCCATCAATGACACATCAACCTAGAAACTTCATACGAGCTAATTCCATGAACAATTGAAAATAAAATAAACATCACAGATAATGAATAAACAAGAAGCCACGTAATTGAAAACAATATTGAAATGAAATTCTTTCATTCTAATAAACAGCAGAAAATATTAAACCTAGATATAACACATTTAAAAAAAAAAATTTATCAATCCCTCAATGCATCACTGTGTAAATTCCCGAATTAATTATCAAACGTGTTATTTTCTTGAGAATATTTACCTTTGAAATGCAGTTATAATTTTCCTGACCAGAGCAGAATCCGGAAAAGACCACTTTATTATGGTCTTCTTTCAGTGATTTTCTATTTCAAAGGAGATTAAATAGAAATAAATGGGATTCCCATATCACGTTGGCAATAGAATAAGACAAAAATTTGAAAAATAAATCCACAGCCATAGAATAAGACAAAAATTTGAAAAATAAATGGGAAAATTGCAGTCGAGATACCAAACCTTTGATTTATTAGCAAACTTTGTCCAAACCTTTAATTTGTGCCACTGAAGGTACCAAATCTTTCAAAAATTCGCACCCGAAATCCAAATGGATGGAAACCGTCCGTTTGACCGTTAGTTGACCAATAAAATTAAACATTGACCAATTTTTGATTAATTGAAAAGGGTAAAAAAGTAAAAGTACTTAACCCTATAATAAAACAATTAAAATAAATAACTAAAACAAAAAAAATACTATTCATCTCCTTCTTCACCCACCCCACCCCCACCCTACCCCCACCCCATCCAAACCATACTATTCATGTCCAGTGAGTTCCACAACCATCGTCACTTCTCCTTCCACTATCCTCCACAACCATCGTCACTTCTTCTTCCATTCCGTGTCTCTTTAGTTTTACATTCAAACAGGGCGGCACCAACCAACCTCCGACTTCGGTACCGACGGTTTAGCTCAAGCTCTGTTTTGAATTTATTTTTTCTTTCTATCTTAAGAGAAAGAGAAGGCGTGAGATGGGGTGCACGGTATCGAAGCTAGATAACGAGGACATAGTGCGGCAGTGCAAGGAGCGACGCCGCCTGATGAAGGAAGCAGTGAATGCCCGGCACCAACTGGCCTCCGTCCACTCTGATTACTACCCCGCCCTCCGCAGCACTAGCTCTGCCCTCGTCACGTTTGCTTCCGGTGAACCGCTCTCCATTTCTGACCACACCCCGGCGGTCCTCCTTCGTAATCTGTCCTCCACCTCAAACGCTACTTCCGCCAACACTTCCAAACCCACTTTCAATTCTCCTCCTCGTCACGTCCCCTCCCACTCTCACTCACATGCACTCACTCGTGTATTGGAAGGAGGAAGAGAATAGTTTATATTTTATAGTTTACAGTATGGTTTGGATGGAGTGGGTGTAGTGTGGGGGATGGGGTAGGGTGAAGAAGGAGACGAATAGTATTTTTTTTTTTAGTTATTTATTTTAATTGTTTTATTATAGGGTTAAGTACTTTTACTTTTTTTTCCCTTTTCAATTAATCAAAAATTGGTCAATGTTTAATTTTATTGGTCAACTAACGGTCAAACGGACGGTTTCCATCCATTTGGATTTCAGGTGTGGATTTTTGAAAGGTTTGGTATCTTCAGTGACACAAACTAAAGGTTTGGACAAAGTCTGCTAATAAACGAAATGTTTGGTATCTTGACTGCAATTTTCCCAAAATAAATTCACAGCCACCGGAGGGACGGATGGATTTAGGGCATGTTCGATAATGATTATGAAAATTGATTTTTTGGCCGTTAAAAAGAAAAGTGGGTCCCACTTCTAAGTAAAGAAATAAAAAATAATGACTGAAATAATAAAATAATGGTTAAAAAATTAATTTTTTGGTGTGAAAAATTATTATTAAACGGGGTCTTATTTAGAGGAAATTGCATTCCATGTCAGTTTTTGACTTTGCATTTTCAAAAATGTCACTTCTTTTAAATCTTTGCAAGATTGTCATTTTTGAACATTTTTACCCCCTAGATAATTTAAATGTACTCCACGTCTTTGGGTTGACAACATTAAAAATTTGTATAAAAAGTAGAAAAAAAAATGTAACAATCAATCATCTCACAATTGTATTTGAAAAAAAAAAAAGAGTTGACACTATCACTATCATCACTATTCTATTAAAAGAGAGAATCGATGGTTCACCATTCATTCATGAAGTATTTCAATTTTCTCATTTTACCCTCCTATCCTTTAATTAAGTATCTCCCTTGCTCCTCTCTCTCTCCTTGTCCTCTGCTTTACCCTAATTGCTAGAAAATAGGTAATCGACCCTAATTTTGTCTTCTGATTTTCTTACTAGATTTCTCTGATTTCTTGCAATATCTATTCATTGAAGAAGCTAACAACAGGAAAATACGAGGAAAAATGAAAGCCTTCAGAACCTCTTACGAAAAACTTACTCCGATTGCGAAATACATCTCTACTCTCCCTCTACATCGCCTTCATCTCCTCCAACCCTCAAATTTCCTGAGTAATCTTTTTATCACTACATGTTTTTACATATTGATACTTCTTCAATATATGCCCACCAACGAGTTAATTGTTCCAAATGATCATTGAATTTAGGTTCATATCTTTGATTGATCACTGAAATTTAAAATGTCGAGTTTTAATTACTAAACTTAGGTCAATATCTTCGATTGCTCACTGAAATTTAAAATATCGAGGTTTGATCACTGAACTTTGGAATATGTCGTACGTTATTCACTAACATAATTGTTGAATTGTGAAAAATATCGAGTTTACAATGAGTAATGTACAATAATTTTCAACATTTAGTGATTAATGTACAACATTTTTTAAAGTTCATTGATCAAAATTTGATATTTTAAAGTTCAGTATTAATCAAAGACATAGACCTAAATTTTTTGGAATAATTAACTCCCCCACCAACTATTTGTTATTTTGCTTATGAAAGCTGCATTCGATTGCTTATGACAAAACAATCGACCCAATCAAGTCTGTAGCTTTCCTCAAGTTGATGACAAATCCACTTTTGCATCTTTACATCCCAAGTAATTAGTTTATTTATTTTTCCTGTATTTATTCGTGTTCTATTTTGACGTTTAATGGTGATTTTGCTTATGTAGGTTAATTAGTTTGATAAATGATATATAATAAACTTATTTTTATTCTGAATGCCTTTTTTTCCTTTTCATTTTTAAGAAAATGACGTGTTTGTGTAGGTTAGAAAACAATAATTTACAGTTTAATTGCCTAACGCTTATATCAAAAGCTTCATGAAGTGGAGGTTTTTTCTTTTCATATTTTAAAAAAATGACGTGTTCGTGTTGGTTAGAAAACAGTAATTTACGGTTTAAGTGCCTAACCCTTCCCTCATATTTTCGGCGACATTCTTTATTATTTATCGCAACATCTCATATTTCACGACAACTTTTTATGTCGTCTTATAGTTTTTGGTACATATTTTTTTCATCACAATTTTCGTGACAAACTTTAAAAACATGTCGCGTTAAGTCATTTATTGCAACAATTTTTTGTATGTCGCAAAAATTCTTGTCGTGAAATCATAGTTTTGTTGTAGTGTGGAGGCTGATCTGTCCATTCATATTTTTTTATTAATGATTATTGTTGCATGGTTAGGGTTGGCATAGGTCTTTAGCTCACAGGGAAAGTGGGGATCAAAATAAAACTGTTTGCTTGAAATTATTTTAAAAAATTCATTTAAATTGGTATTTTTCCAATA